TAAAGATTTTATTTATTTATTTGACAGAGAGACACAGCGAGAGAGGGAACACAAGCAGGGGGAGTGGGAGAGGGAGAAGCAGGCTTCCCGCGGAGTAGGGAGCCCCATGTGGGGCTCGATCCCAGGACCCTGGGATCATGACCTGAGCTGAAGGCAGATACTTAATGACTGAGCCACCTGGGCGCCCCTATTTATTCTATCTCTTGTGTTCTTTCCATTTTCAATCCTAGTATTCCTTCTTGGTTCTTTTTTATGATTTCTCATTACCTCAGATGTTAATATAATCTCTTCTCTAAGTATTTTTATCATCTTTATTTTAAATTTCTGATTTTTTATTTCACTAATTCTTAGATTTTATATATGTGATTGTGTGTGCATGTGTGTGCATGTGTGTCTATGTGATCCCGTTTGTTGTTTTTCTCATAATGGTTGTATATTGGCCTGTGAATTCCCGTCCCCTGAAAGTATTGGCTACTCTGTCTACTGATGAAAGTGTTTCTCAAACTGGGGTGAACAACTAGATTGTTTTTGTTCCCAATCTGTTGCAGGCATATTTATTATATAAAACTTCTTAAATTTTTACTTACTTTCACTTTCTACACTTATTATAGACCAGGGACATCAGTCCTTGAGCCACACTTTGACGTACTGTCCTAATGCATACTGGGAATGGGTCCTGGTGCACAGTGGTATGTTGTATTAGCCTTTCCAACTAGTCCCTTCTTTCCCTCTGAGAGGATTATATGTCACCACCCATTGCTGTGTGATTTTCAATGCCTCTCTGGAGACAGCACAGTTCCCTGCTCCACTATCTGGTTGGGTTTTGTGACCTGCTTGGACCAACAGAATATGAGTGGTGACAGCAGGCCAGTTCTGAGCAAGAGCTTAGAAGGCATCATGTGTTTCCCTCCTGTGTTTCTAACTCTTGTTCTTCCTCTCTGCTGCATGAATAGCGTGACTCAAATAGGGGCCGCTCCTATAGCCCAATGTAGGTCCCAAAGTGAGGTGCTTTGAGCCACAGAATCTGACCTGCAATTACCAATATGTAAAGACAGCAAGAAATAGATGTTGGTTGTTGTAAACCAAGGGTTGGCAAACTACAGTCCATGGGCCAAACCCAATCCACTGGCTGTTTCTGTAAGACCCATTAAGCTAAGAATTTGTTTTCATTTTTGGAAGGTTGGAAAGTAATCAAAACACACAGAGAGGGTCAATTAACTTACACCAAAGGAGCCAAGAATATACAAGGGAAAGGACGGTGTCTTCAATAAATGATGTTGGCAAAACTAGACAGCCACATGCAAAAGAATGTGAAACTAGACCATTATCTTATACCATACACAAAAATTAACTCAAAATGGATTAAAGACTTGAATGTAAGACTTGAAACCATAAAACTCCTTGATGAAAATGATAGGCTGTAACCTCCTTGACATGGCACTTGGCAATGTCTTTTTTGGGTCTGACACCAAAAGCAAAGTTATCAAAAGCAAAAATAAACAAGTGGGACGACATCAAGCTAAAAAGCTTCTGCACAGCAAAGAACATGCTCACAAAAATAAAGGCAACCTTGGGGTGCCTGGGTGGCTCAGTCAGTTAAGCTTCTGCTTACGGCTCAGGTCATGATCCCAGGGTCCTGGGATCCAGCCCAGCATTGGGCTCCCTGCTCATCAGGGAGACTGCTTCTCCTTCTCCCTCTGCTGCTCCCCCTGCTTGTGCTCTCTCTCTCTGTCAAATAAATTAATTAAATCTTTAAAAACAAACAAATAAAGGCAACCTACTGAATGGGAGAAAATATTTGCAAATCATATATCTGGTAAGGGATTAATATCCAAAATATGTAAAGAATTCATACAAACCAATAGCAAAATAAAACAATCTGATTAAAAAGTGAGAAGAGGACCTGAATCTACATTTTTCCAAAAAAGACATATAGGTGGCCAGGTACATGAAAAAGTGTTCAACATCACTCATCATCAGAAAAATGCAAATCAAAACCACAATGAGATATCACCTCACACCTGTTAGAATGGTGGTTATCAGATAAGAAGATGTGTTGGTGAGGATGTGGAGGACAGCGAAAGTTTGTGCACAGTTGCTGCGAATGCAAACTGGTGCAGCCACTCTGGAAAACAGTAGAATTTTCCTCAAAAAATTAAACATAGACATACCATATGATCCAGCAATTCTATGTTAGGGTATTTATGCAAAGAAAATAAAAACACTAACTTGAAGAGATGTAAATACCCCCATGTTCACTCCAGCATTATCTATAATAGTCAAGACATAGAAGCAACCTAAGTGTCCATTCATGGATGAATGGATAAAGAAAATGTGTTATGTACACACACACACACACACACACACAGGAATATTATTCAGCCATAAAAAAGGAAGTTTTGCCATTTGCAACAATATGGATGGACGCTGAGGCTATAATGTTAAATGAAATAAGTCAGAGAAAGACAAATACTATTTGACCTCATCTATATGTGGAATCTAAACAAAACAAAACAAATCCGTAGATACAGAGAACAGATTGGTAGTTGCCAGAGGTGGGGGCGTGAGCCCAAATGGGTGAAGGAGGTCAAAGGTTACAAACTTCCAGTTACAAAATAAGTAAGTCATGGGGATGTAATGTATGTGTGGTGACTATAGTTAATACGTATTGTGTATTTGAAAGTTGCTATGAGAGTAGATCTTAAAAGTTCTCGGGGGCGCCTGGGTGGTTCAGGCGGTTAAGCATCTGCCCTCGGCTCAGGTCGTGATCCTGGGGTCCTGGGATCGAGCCCCACATCGGGCTCCCTGCTCAGTGGGGAGCCTGCTTCTCCCTCTCCCTCTGCTGCTCCCCCTCCTTGTGCTCCCCTTCTCTCTCTCTCTGTCAAATAAATAAATAAAATCTTTAAAAAATAAATAAATAAAAGTTCTCAGCACAAGGAAAAAAATTTGTAACTGTGAGGTGACTGATATTAACTAGACTTACTGTGGTGATCATTTTGCAATACATTCAAATATCAAATCATTATGTTGTACACCTGGAACTGATATAATACAATGTTATATGTCAAGTATATCTCAATAAAAACATAATCAAAAGAACAGGATTTAAAAACTATATGAAGTTCAAGTTTTAGTATTCCTAAAGTTTTGTCAGAACATGGCCACACTCATTCGTTTACATATTGTCTACGGCTTTCTTGCTCTAAGGACAGAGCTGAGCATCTGTAACAGACACCGGATGTCCCACAAAGCCCAAAATATTTACTATCTGGCCCTTCGCAGAAAAAGTTCACCAGCCTCTGTTGTAAGGCCCAGAGATTCTGAGGTTGGTTGTTACCTCAGCAAAAATGACTAATGTAGTCAGAATGAGTTTAAGGAGAGAGAGGGGAGGAGCCCCAGAGAAGGGAGTGCCAGGCACCACAAAACTACTCTGGATCATCCCATCTGCTGTCCCTGTGGACCAGCAGCCCTTCTGAGCGTTCACCTTTCAACTCTCGAGAAGCAGCACTGGGATGAGGTAGTCTCTTAGCTTGTAATTCCTTCGCCTTGAGTATTTGCAGGAGACGTTGGCCACGAGAATGCCTACGTGCTATAGTCAGTTCACCGCCATCTGTAATCCCCCAGCAGGACTTGGCACTGTCCCCACATTAGTCTGTCAGTCCGGCTTTTTGCTCTCTGCACTGCAGCCTGAACCTGTTGAAAAGATTTTTATTTCTCTGGGCCCTCCTCAAAGTTGTCCATCCTTTGGATTACTTAATAAATGGATCAGAGCAGTTGCAGAAGGCCGAGGGGAGCATCAGCATTCTCTTAAATGGAAGAGAAAGAGCCAGGATTAGAGCCAGGAATTTTGTGCAACACACAGCCTATCTGATCTATGCTATAGACGGTAATGAGCAACCATTACCAATGTTCCATTTCTGGCTGCAGCAACTATAAATTACAGATGCTTCATTACACCCTCGAATTAGGGGAGGGGTGTTTCAGCAAAAATCTGGCACAGGTATGGAACCGTTATGAGTATGAGTATCATCTGCGGTGGGTGTCTTGGTCGGGGAGCTGGGTTGAGAATCTCTGGCCTGGAGCCGTAAATGCAAACTACTTAAAGTGACTCACGATATCCTTCACGTTCCTACCGTTCTCTCCTGCCTCCCGTGCCCCAGCCTCGGGGAGCTACCACACTTACACTCCCCGGTATGTAACGTGTTTCCTCTTGCCTCTGGACATACTTTCTCCCCTCCATCTGGATTGTGCTACTCTCCACCTTCATTTACCTGGAAAACCGTGTTCCCTCAAGGTTCAGTTCAGACATCACTCGTTCCGTGAAGCCTTATGACATCCCATGAGGTAGGTGTTCCTTCTTCTCTGCTTCTGCGTGGCCCTAAAAAAAACATGTCCATCATAGTTCATTCTTTTTTTTTTTTAAAGATTTTACTTATTTATTTGACAGAGTGAGACAGCACAAGTAGGGGGAGCGGGAGAGGGAGAGAGAGAAGGATCCCAGGACCCTGGGATCCTGACCTGAGCTGAAGGCAGACGCTTAACCGACTGAGCCACCCAGGCACCCCGAGAAGAAACAACTCTAGAGACATTTGGGTATAAAAGCCGCTCCTTTGCGCCCTAAAACAAGTAGCCCCAACGTGAGAGAAACAAAAGGTATTTGCTGACGTGGGCGTTGGACAGAAACGCCCGAGGGCTGGGGACACAATTAAAGGGGCAACGCACAG